CCAAAAGGGTCCAGCCAGAAGAATATTCTTTGGAGCATGGGATTTTAAACTAGAAACTGCTGACCTTAAGCTCTCATAAAGATCGACAAGTAACAGTTCACTCAGGCAGACTTTCCTATTTTCATGGAAATCCCTGGCTAGGGGAATGAACCTACTCGCCACTTGCAAGGATCTGCTGCAAAACACATATCGTGATAGCCACAAGGTAAGGAAAGAGATGTGTTCTACGTCTGAGACATCATCCCCTTCGGTATGATAATGACTGATGAATTTTGAAAAGCTGGCTAGTTTGACATCGAAGTCAATGATGCTAGAATATTCTTCGTTATCAGGAATGTAAGTTTCCCCCGCTGGTGAGAGACCAGTGATGGCAGCTATATCAAAGAAGGTGGGTGTTATCATTCCGCCCGGAAGGTGGAAAGTGTTATAAGTATTGTCCCAGAAGTACAATGAAGCAAATAGCAATGTGTGACTGTAAGTAAAGCCTGGTTTCGACAGTTTGATTAAATTATAAATTCCTAATTCTTCCCATTGCTGGGATTTTTTGGATTCTACTTTAGTAAGCCAGTTTTGATATGCTACATCTGAAGTGGGGCAGGATCGAAATGGTTTGAAATTGCTTTTGATGTAATCTAAAATGAAAGGATCTTTTTGGGGTAAGACTGGAGTTTCAGTTGTTTTTGAATCAGACGATTCGCTTATATCTTCAGTTCCTGCCTTAGGGGCATCCATCTTGTTGAATAGGGGTTTGAATTTATAGCAAACGAGGAAAATTTTCCTAGTATCTTTTAGAATTTCAAAAACAGTTAAAGGACCCATTAGGGCAAACCTTTTTCCAGATACAATGGTAGGGATTAATACCTGAGAAGCATACATCATTTCTTTCTCTTTGTAGATCGCTTGAGGATTGAGCACAGATTGATTCTGATAAATACCCACCTTGCTCTCCATGACAGTTTCCGTGTTAGTGTTCTTGTTCTTCCTCTTTGATGATTTCTTCAATTGTGATGATGTTGATGAAGACATTGTCAAGATTGCTGGAAATTTTAGGGTTTAGTGAAAAAGAGGGAGGTTTCAGAATTTTGGAGAAAAAGAAGAAAAGACTAAACTGATGAGTTTTATAGAGAGCGTGGAAGAGTGAGTGTAAATTACCCACTAAATAAGATTAGGGGTACGTGGAAGTCGTTGGGTGGATTCAGAGAGAGGTGGCGTAAGGTCTAGTGTTGGTAATGAGTGTGATTAATAGTAATCATTATTTTTTAAACCACACCATGCTGTGGTAACTGGTCCAAGATGGTTAGGTACTCAAAAAGGCGTCTTGATTGACGTGGGTAAAGTCATGCACAGTAAATGTCATGATTCTTCAAAAAGACCTATCAAAATCTTGTGAATCTATTTAAAATAAATATTTCTCAAAGGGTTCGAAATACATATTTTAAAGGGGCATTTTGTTGGCTGAAGATTTTGATATTATGATTCGAAATAAGACGATTGGGTTTTGTTTGAATAAAGCAAGTTTGATGATTTGGAATGAAAGAGACTGTTCGTTTCGAATGGAAATATTAAAGTTCAAGGTTTCGAATGATAGTTGTGGAGTGTAAGTCTAAAGCCTTGTTCGAAATAATGATGAGACTATATTTGTGAGGGTTGTTTTCGAAACGAATTCGAAATGAAGGTACCAAGGCGCTTGAAATTCAAACGTGAGAGGGATATTGGAAATTCAAAATACATAAGCATTGGAACGTTCGAGGACGCGTGGAGGCTAGAGGGAAGTAATGCTCTGCATGCTTCGAACGTGGCAGATTCTGATAACAAGACCGTTATGGTCGAAGTAGTATAAATAGAGGTCTTAGTGTTAGGATTTCGGGGTGTCATATCTGTTGTACAAATTCAGTAAACATTCAAAGTACCGCATGGATAGGGAAACGAATGCTCGAAAGATGTACGTATGATAACACCAACATTTACAATTCAATGAAAACTCTTTACATTTTCCAGTTTTGTCTTTCACTTCCATTTCATTTGTGCTTCAAATAATTTTACGTTTATGCCTTTACATTAAAGCCTTTACATTCGAAGTCATTTTTTTCTTTCTGCATTTAAACACTTTTCTTATGTTCGAATCCTCTAAACATTCAGTAACTTTTACATTCTCTTACTTAATCCTGCCATTTGCCCCATTTTAAGTATTTTTACTTTTCTAAAGAACATTCCTGATATCATATATAAATTGTCCTTCGAATCATTCAGTATAGAAATCGAAGTGGATTGGATATCTTCGAAACACTTTAATTAGAAGTCCTAAATAGGAATACCAGTTTTACAATTAGACTTAACCAAACAACTATGTTCCATAGGATCAATCTAGTCGATCCTGCAAGTTACCAGAGAAATTGAGTAACAGTAATTAAGTTTATTCGATAGTTTGGAAGACTAGCGGTTGTTCACCAGAAATCACTGTGAACAGTATGATCATTATATTTTAAGTCAATTGGTTGAATTAATAGAACAAGAACCAAATTTTATGTTAGTACAAGTTATGTGGTAAGTGGAATCTCTAACTATTTTGAAAAACTTGAAAAATTGAGATTTCATGTGCGTGACTCGAATCACTCACAAACCAAGATTCGAAACGGATCCAACAGGGAAAACATGAGAATTCTTGTGTCCATGACTCAAATCACAGTTTACACTTGGTTAGAATCACACAAGCTTCTGTTAGTCATTTCCCACTTTGATTCAAATCATATCCTTTCTCTAATTTTCATGTTAAGCATTGTCTAATTTGATTCAAATTGCAACTTCTACATGACTCGAATCATGACCTTTCATGACTCGAATTCCAATTATAACTTGACTCTAATCACATGAAAATAGGTCACTTCTTTTATATTGATGTTGCTCCACTCTACTTGTTCACTTGACTCAAATCAACAAATGTTCTTGACTCAAATCTATCAACCATTTTTTACCTATTTTTGTGCTTAATCACCAGCACCCATAAATCTTTTTGTCACCTCGTATTTTGAAAAAATTGTAATGTACGTAACTACGTAGAAAAAACTTCCATTTTTGAAAAATCAAACCACATGCAAATGAAATTCTTACATCTTCAACCTCGTTTTTTATTCAAATATTGATTGATAAGATTTATAATTATTGAGGAAAATTGTAGTCCTTTTGGACCGACCCTTTGAAATTGTTGCATTTTTTAAAATAATAACATGAAGAAGTGTTCAAAATGTTCAAGATTAATCTAGCTTGTTTAAGTTGCATGAAATTTGAGAGGGCTTATGGAGTCTATAAGGAATAACACTAAAGATAAGCGACAAAAAGTGGAAACTCAAATGAATGCAATGAAGAATGATGATTTGGTGAATCAGAAGCTCTTATGGTAAGCTATGTGACTTAAATGAAGGAAGAAAAAGAAAAAGGCTATTGAAAATATATATCTGAAAAGAAAACTTGTGGTGTCTAGTGATTCAGAGTCAGAGACTAAAGAATATGTCCAAGACATCATGTCCTGTACAAGAAGGAAATTTGAAGGAAAAAAGCTTCATGTAAAATTTGTTACTGTTCCTCTGGATAGTCAGTCACTCCATTTTGAATCGAGTGTTAAGAAGTGGCATTATATTGTTGTTCTATCAATTACAAGAGAAAAATAAATATCCAAAATACTAATAAGTCACATAAACTTCAAAAAAACTAGCAACTCGTATTCTTATTCCATGTTGATCTTTAGATAACTAGTAAAAATCTCATTTTTTTTTAAAAGCTTCACTTTCAAACTCAAAATCATGACCTTTGTTTCAGTATTTGTTGAGATCAAACTGCAACTTTGTTAAAAAAATCATCAATAAAAATTATAGTATTTTTTTCTTCTGAAAATGCTTTCAACTTCCTCCACATTAGAATAATTTTCTTTACCTTTGTTCATTGAATCCTTAACGATCTCTTCAACAACTTCACTAAAATCCTCTGATAATTTATTCAAATCAAAAAGTTCTTCACTTGAGTATTGCTTGCATGCTCTTTATTTTCTTAGAAAGTATTGTTGGAATAATATAACAAGTGTAAGTAAGTGGGAAAAAAGTCTCACATTGAATATGAATGTGGAAATTTAAGCATATATAAGCGAGATAACTCACACACCTATCACCTTAAGGTGAATAAGTGGTGTGTCTCTCACAAATGTGTTTCTTCATATACTATGTATCGATGCTCCTAATAACTCCCCTCAACAAGTATAAATATGGTTTTTTTAGCGTATAATATCTACCTCTATCATTCTTTACTTTTGAGAGATCTTTATCAAAAAAAAAATCATATAGTGTGTCTCTTGCATTCGAAACTTAATAAAGTAAAAAAAGTATCATTAAGGATAAAAATGAGATTTAAAAAGTAAAGAAATATTAAAAGTTGTATTTTTTTATACTTAGGAAAGAAAAAATCTTTCAAAAATCTTATTATATTAAAAAAAACTTGAAAAGACAGTCACTAATAATCCAACAAGTGGAATTAATTTTTTTTAATTATCTTCCTGATTTTCCCATGATTCAACACAAATCTCCACACACACAGGACCCCACTACAATACAACACATTACATAACATTGTGTGTCCAATGATTTCTATGAATCATTGAACCTTTCACTTTCACTCCACGTGCTTGTAAGGCCTCATAGTACCCATTACATTATTCCATTTCAACATTATTTGTACCCAATTTTCTAAACCAATTCCCCCCAAATTTAACACTCTTGCCTCACCATATTAGTTCAAGTTAGTACCCCTCCACTTATATGCTCATAAACCTCTATTTCTTCTCCCAACCCTAATTTCACACACTTTTCTCAACCTAAAAAAACCACTCATTCGTACAATACAAAAAATTATGTTTTTACTCTATTGATCAATCTCAACCTCTTGTTCCCTTTTCTCCATCTTTTTCCTATCTCATCATTTATCTCTCTTTTCTCTTCCTACACTCTATACCACCTATGGAAGATTTTATCATCTCACCTTCATCATCTTCTTCTATGATACAAAACTCTTTACCACAAACATCTTCCCTTCAACAAAAGCTTCAACTTTTGCTCCAATCTCAATCCGACAATTGGGTCTATGCCATTTTGTGGCAAACAACAAACGATGAAAAAGGTAACCCTTTCTTATCTTGGGGTGAAGGCCATTTCCAAGGAACCAAAGAAACAACAACTTCAAACAAACCATACGACACAGACACAAATACAGACAAGAACACGTCTACAAACGGCGATGCGGAATGGTTCTACGTCATGTCGTTGACTCGAAGATTTTCCGTCGGTAATTCTTCTTCCATTTCTTTACCTGGTAAAGCTTTTGCCTTAGATTCTGTTCTTTGGTTGAATAGCAAACAAGAGCTTCAATTTTATAACTGTGAGAGATCCAATGAAGCACACCTGCACGGAATCGAAACCTTAATTTGTATTCCAACAACTAACGGCGTTGTCGAAATGGGTTCGTACGAAAACATCCTACAAAACTGGAACCTCGTAAACCAAGCTAAATCCATATTCCAAACATCCTCGTCAGAATCAAACTCAATCTCAAAACCAGATCTTCTTCCCACTAACCCACTTGACAAAATCCAAACCTTCGACCAAAACATCTCATTCTCCGACATCGGTTTCATCTCCGGCACCGGCGAAGAAACCCAAGAGACACAAAAAACAGTGAACAAAAAACCACAAAAAAAACACAACATTGTTTCATCATGTCACATAGATTCTGAACATTCTGATTCAGAATATTGTCCAGAATTAGCAACACCACCAACAATAACACCGAAGAAGAGAGGAAGAAAACCATTAACCGGAATACCAACTCCGATAAACCATGTAGAAGCCGAGAGACAAAGGAGAGAGAAACTAAACCATAGATTCTACGCATTAAGAGCTGTGGTTCCAAACGTTTCAAAGATGGATAAAGCTTCACTGTTATCAGACGCAGTAGATTACATCAACGAGTTAAAAGCAAAAGTCGAAGAATTCGAATCCGAAAATCAAAAGGAACCAAAGAAACCGAAGACGGAAGCAATTGAAAGTACAGTAACAGCAACTTCAACTGTGGTGGACCAAAAAAGAACTTGTGTTATTGGTTTGGAGATTGAAGTGAAGATTATAGGCAGTGATGCTATGGTGAGAGTTCAATCTGAGAATGTTAATCACCCTGGAGCAAGATTAATGAGTGTGTTTAAGGATTTGGAGTTTCAGGTTCATCATGCGACTATATCATGTTTCAATGAAATTATGGTTCAGGATGTTGTGGTTGTTCAAGTTCCCGATGAGATGAGGAATGAAGAGAGTCTTAGATCTGCAATTAGAATGAGATTGGAACATGAATGAAAGAAGAACAAGATCATAATCTTCATAATGTTTTTTAATTCATCTTGTTTTAATTAATCTCCAATCATGTACTACTAAATTACATTATTAAGTTAAAAAACTTGTCTCTATGCAACTCTGTCAGTATTCATAATTTTCTCTGAATTTCTAGTCCACTGGGTCCTAGATGTACTAGAGAAACAATATTTTAGTACTATGATAACATAACATGGATGTCAAATAAGATTTCATTTGATTTTTATGTATTTTTATTAAACACGTGCAACTAAAAAAATTAATTCATGATGTCACAAATCTAATTGACAACAAAACATATAATCAATGAATGATACATAGGCATATCAAGTGCGACAAAAAATGATGAGTACCAGTGATTTGGATATTTAAATTATTTAAATGGGGAAGGAGTTTCATTCCTTTAAGTTGGTCTTTTAGAGACCTTCAATGGTGCAATTCACATTTGAGATATTTGGTGGATCTCAATAAATCACATCATCATCTTAAACTAATTTTATCAATTTCTATTTTAAGGTAATTTTAAAAAACTCACATTAAATCTCACCATTTAATTCATATATTAATATTTTATTAATATTTTATTTTATTCTAACTTAAATAGTATATATTATTTAAAAATCATTAAATTGAATCTAGTAAATATTACTATTTTATCTATGGATTCATTGGTTTAGATCCTTATAAAATAACAATAATAATGAACACAAGTATTTGATTCCGGTTCACTGTTAACTAGGTTATCTCCAGTTCACTCGTCAAGATGATTTTGTCTTTTTGATAAGGATTTAATACACTAATCAAAAACTTTCTCTCAAAGACTTTTCAAAGATTTTGATTATATCCTAGTCCCTCTAAGAATTAAATCAACAGAATAAGATTATAACTTTTTGTGTTTACAACGTGCTTCTAAGAAAGCAGATATACACAATTTAAATGCAATAAGTTTTTCTAACAAAGAATTAAAGGTATAAACTTTCAGAATAATCAAAACTTTCTTTTTTGTGTAGTTTCTAAGATTTTGTTCCTGGTGTTTCTCTCTTGTTTCTATTCACATTGTTATTTTTCTATTGCGTCAGGACCTCTTTTTATAGATGAATAATAAATCTGTTGAAGGGTGAAGTTGAAATTTCTTAAACCACAACTTGCATGAAGACGTTTGATGGTATAATTGTGTGGTGGCGCTTGCAGTATAGAGGGAGGAAGGATGAGACGTGCTAAAAAAGTTGGTAGTAACATACAGTCCTTTAACCTATTTTGCAGGGTAGTGGTGAGGAAATATGATGTTGCACTACGCCATAAAAACTATTTAATATAGCTTTTTTTGTTTTGTTTTTGATAGCGCTTAAAACCGCTATTAATCGTGCCGCAATTATAAACAATTTTGTTTAATTTCACTTTAAAAGCTTTATTAAAGTACCCGTTTTTAATAGTATTTTTCCTTAAGCACTACTGAATGGGACATTTTGCGCTTTGTAATACGTTTTTCAATTTGATTTTGATAGCACTTTCAAACAAAGTGCTATTATAGGGCACCTATTTGATAGCACTTTCAAACAAAGCGCTATTATATGGCACGTGTTTGATATCACTTTCAAACAAAGTGCTATTTTATGGCACATGTTTGATAGCACTTTGAAACAACCGGCTGAACATATCATCGAGATGAAATCAATGAAGTCGCCATCGAACGTTTTTTATCCCACATGAAGGGAAAGGTGAACATCGAGTAAACCTAAAAAGACTGAAATCACGATCAAACGATCGAGAGATCGGGTAAGAGAGTCTGTTACGTGAGGGGAAGATACTAACACTCCACATGTCTGTAGTACTCTACGATGTCCACTCTTGTTGTTCTAATCAAAGGGTGTGTTTCAATCTAATGCTTAAGAGCTAAAAAGAAAATGCAAAGAGAATGCATGCAAAAGAAAACACGGGAAAAAGAAAGAAATATTTACAAAGCTTCGCTTGGCTGAGCCCCGTGACCAGATGTCTACGTATCCTTTTTAAGGAATCAGAGCACCGTAGTTCAGCTCACATGTTTTAATTTGTTTTGTGTTTTTAATGAACAATATTAATTTTTCCTTATACCGCAACTCGACCTTTGGAGACTCACGCGTCAACACAGAAGTGAATTAACATGTTCTTTTGAAAAGTTGATTAGTTGTGATGCAAAGCCCGAAGGCGGAAAAAAGGTTTGAGTTTATCGGTGTTTTTTATCTTGAAAAAAGATTTGAAAGTTGTTAGATGTTTTATTCATCTGCAAAGAAAAAGGTTTTAGTCTTAAGGATGCAAAAGAAAAGAAAATAACTAAGGGAGACTATCTAGCTCTATCCCTAATTTTATCATACAATGATAGTCCTAAGGTCGAATTTGAAATGAAAATCTCTACCTAAGTTAACATGCATGGATACCTATCCTAATGTCTAGCTTGAAAGCTACCCTAATCGAGAAATCTTAAGGGAACATACAATGGTTCAAAGCCTAAGGGAATGCGGCATATACAAGAATGAAAAGCAAACAAGCAATCAACAAGCTCAAAAGAGCACACACATGTCATGAGTAACACATGTTAGCTCAAGTAAAGGCCTAACCAAGATATTGTGCATCAAGGTAGGAAATGGGAAGCTTTAGCCAAAGGGTCATATCAACCGAGGCAAATAAGCGAGGTAGGATACAAGAAGCTTTAGCCAAGGGGTCATATCAACCTAGGAAAACAAGCTATCTGTGAGAATTAAATCCGTATGGTGGCATCATATTGCCAGGTAAGAAGAGTAAGGGAAGAAAGTGATGTCCAAAGCGACTAAGCACCTAACCGGGATATCAAAGATCGAGGCATAAGATGGATGACAGTATAGACACACACAAAGTATCAACATCAGCCAATGCGAACTCCTGACAAAATGTGGGGGATTGATTACAAGTCCCTTTCCACTTGACGACTGGATAACAAAAATAGCTCAACTCCAAAGCATCATGGTGTGTCACAAGATAAAGATGATAGGGATGAAATACGGGGGTCGATTGCAAACCCTAGACTGCTTGCCTTCTCTGGGGACTTATCATGGGGTATCGGGAATGGGACGCCTCATTTTGAGGTCTTTAGGCACAAATGTAAACACACAGCAAAAACGCATACTTCAAGGTAGGTTTTTAAACAAACCACAAACACAATTAGCAAACAAGTGAAGAATTGCCTTAAACAGACCTTTAAATAAAACAGAGGGATTCTTGACATGATCAGCAACGGAAGTCTCTGTCATGCATCTTTATCCTACTTCTCATGGCATCAGAAAACTTTAAAATGCGGTAAAAAGTGTGAGAGATAAAGGAAAAAATCAGACTACCAATCGAACAAAAATGTGTCACTAAACTGACAGCGGCGAGAAACCCAGAGAATATCGAAAGAGCTAGCATCAACAAGAAACAAATTTAGAATATGCGTCGAAGCATCAAAGCAACATAAGCGGTGTTTGTCAGGCACAATGAAACAAGTCTCCTGCAAGAAAACCAACGATCCAAACAATATACAATATACAAGTATACACCTCATAATTGATGAAAAAAAGATAACAACATGCGAAGAGTGGTACCCCACAGATAAAATGGAGTACCAAGATGTCAACACATGAGAAATGAGGTATCCCATAAATAAAGTGGAATATCGAGCAAGTAAGCGTCATCGAAATCTCTTATGGTAATCCTTGTACAAACTCAACAAACAAGTTAGTGATAACAAGAAAGCAACCGACAATTACATCATTGGCTCATAATGTGAAAATCAAGGATGACACAAAATGTTAAAAGAGGCTATGTCAAATCACAAAGTGTATATGTCAATCGGTATCAAAAATCGCAAAATCGGGAAACAGGCGTCAAAATTTATTGACTTGGAATTAAACGAAAATCACATGGTTGATTGAAAACGTGTTAACAGACTTAAAAACAAACTCGGCTTAAATTAATTCCGCCCGAAAGCGGGACTTTTAGGTCAATTTCGTCGGTTAGCAGTAGTGAAAGGCAGAAAAAAAAGTATCATAAACTGAAAATAAAGTACACCAATAGCTTCAGAATCATGGAGAAAGTCAAGTTCCACTAATCATAAGTGTAAAAACTCACCACGGTTAGGAAATTAGCTCAAAAATGAGATTATGTCAAGTGTTAAAAAAATTTCAAGAGTTGTGATATTTTCCACTTATCTCAAGTTTTTATGTATCAAAGAGGTTGGTAATGTGTCTTGAGTCAAATGGAAGATGTTACACCTCATGGATAAGCAAATGTTAGTATGAGTGTATGCACGTTCACACAATTACAATATTACATGTTATGAAAATGTTAAAGTAAGTGAGCAAAACTAGAATTTAATACTAAGTAATAGTAAGCAAGACTTGAATATTAGTACTAGGAATTAGTAAACAAGAGTATGCACATTGAGGTGAATATCATAGAACAAATACAACATAAGTTAGTAATCACGATTCTGAAAAATTAGCATTTAGGCACAACACAATTAAGCTCAAGACTCAACCAATTCCGAATCTATCCATATTTGTTCACAATTTTAAGAATCTAACATCAACACAAACAATTACAATTAACTCTATGTCAAAAGATTAGCACAATATCAAAAATTAGTTCTTATCTCAAGAATTAGCAATATAATTCTATGAGGAATTTCTACATACACCTAATGTGCAAATAATATGTCTACAAATCTATGTCAAAATCTACATCACAAATTTACATAGACATTATCACAAACACATAATATACACTAGAATATTACAAATTCTATGTCAAGAATTCTAGATCTAAACTAATCTACACCATCAATTCATGTATAATTCACATAAATAAAATCAAATTACTCAAGTATTCAACAAAACTATGAGAATCAAGTAATGTTACCTAAGAGAGTTTATAGAAAATTGGAAGTTGAATGGTATTGATGATGATGCTTGAATAAGATGTTGTTGTTGTGTTTT